GGGGGGGGCAAAATATCTAGGTTGCAAAAAAGACTGGTGTTTTTACAGGTGTCACTTCTTGTAACAAACCAAGTGTAATATTGCTGACCGTCTTGTGTGGGGCTGTTAAAGCATACTACGTGTTGATTCTACGTTAACCCTTACATTCCTATTCATCAAACTAAAACATTGTCCAAAGAACAACCATTGATATATACACTTCTTAACAATCTCTGACATAGCATCAGAAGAAATGTAGTCATTTTTTAATTCGTCTACGAAAAGGAACCGAAGCAAACTATTATTATAATGCGTATTCTTTTAATTATCCTGGCCCGTTTGTGAATGGAAGGGGGATAACAAACAAATTAATTTTTATTGTTTTCGCTATGAATTGTAAATTGTGTCAAGACAAGTTTGTAAAATATTGCTTCCCTTTAAAAAATAATCAGTTAACCCCTTTCTAGCATAAATGCGGTTCTGGGTGGGTTTTTAATGAACGTCAATGGGTCAAAGAACCAGTAAACCCTCACCATGTATGGTCGGGAGAAATTCTGTTGTCAAAGTTTCTCATTTTTCTTTTGATATTGTTATATGAATAAAATCTAGTCAGTGGAATGCCGTTAATGTTTTGCGGAAGCAGTAAATCTGTTTCTTAATTAAGACTGCATGATCGATATTTTAAAGAGTGGTTAAATACTGCTCCACATAACATAAGGTCAGAGGTTAAGCCATCCACTTTGAGAAGACAATGTTCAAAATGTATAACAACAACAACAACAACAACAACAACAACAACAACAATATATGAGTAAATACTAGCGATATGAAATTTTGCTTTAAACGCAGTGTACAAGATGGATTTTCTATGAAAGTCATCAATTCTCAAACCCGCTCTGATGTTCCTTTAAAAATGACACGTCATATCTTTGCTATTAAGTGGCAACTTGACAACTAACAGCAAACATATTAATGTGCTGTCGTGTCCATACCTTTAGAGAGAACAGATAATTAATCCACCTACATTTTTGTCTTGCGTGTACCGTTGGTTTCCTGTGTCTTTTTTGTCTAACTGCTGGTCATAACTATGTTATTATTGTGATGTTACACTGAGTGTGTTCATGTTGTGCGTATAATCCACGGGTTTGTGTTCATCCCTGGTTTTGTCATAACCTCATAGTGTTCAGACTTTGTGGCTAGTCCACAAATAGAACAGAAACACCAAAGGTAAAACTTCTTTTCAACATACAAATAAATATATTATTATCATGTTCAGATTTAGGCTGGATGGTAGAAGAGCATTTTAATCCCATGCGGATTTTTGGTCTGTAGTGAGAGCTCCGAGGAGAAAAGAAAGGTATAAAGGCATTGTGGAGAATAAACAAGAAACGGGGCATCTCAGTAGTGAGTTCCCATAATTTCATATTGTCCATTCGGCCATCATTTTCATCATTACTCAAGTCTTAAACGACAGCACAGCGAGCCATTATACACATAATTCTCTCTCGTAATAAATGTTATGTCGGATTTTACGGATAACTCTCTTTGAGGGTTTCATATCTTCATTGTGTGTTCATTCAGATCTCTGAAATTCTTGGAAGTGGAGACTGTGTGCAAAGTACTCAAAACGAGTTCTTTTCAATAAAATGCTCCATTTTTGCCGGGTCTATGTGTTGTTCATATGAGTTGGTTGTGTCTGTGAGTGTGAAGTCAACAAAGATACTTCCGCTGATGGCTATAATAATTCGTTAATAAAGGTGCTTTGATGATGATGATGATGATGATGATGATGATGATGATG